GGGCGGCGGCGGGGAGCGGGCGGGCGGCCGGCCCCGGCCCCGGCCCCGGCCCCGGCCCCGGCCCACCGCCGCTGTGCTGTCGCCCCTGCAGCGCGCTGTGCTTCGTGGCGGGGCTCGGCTGGTTCCTGGCGCTGGCCTGCCACCCGTTCGCGCTGCGCATGTACATGTCGGAGAACGCCATGGGCTCCACCATGGTCGAGGAGCAGTTCGCCCACGGCAAGCGCGCCCTCTCGTACGCGCGCGAGTTCGCCGCCCACAAGAAGGCGGCCGGGTGAGTGGCGGCCGGGGGAGGGCCCCTCGTGGCGCGGGCGGGCCGGGGGCGCGTCCCGTGGCCCGGAGCCCGCTCCGGTGGGCCGGCCGTCCCTGGCGCCCGGCGCGCGGCTCAGCCCTGGCTCCCCTCCCCGCAGAGGCATGCCGGTCGCCTGGCTGGAGAAGACCATGTGGAACCTGGGCCTGGAGGTGTACAAGCAGACCTTTTCCCGCACGCTGCCGTTCCCCGATGAGACGCGAGAGAGATTCGTACGTGCCGGGCCGCGGGCCCCTCCGCCGCTGGGGTGGGAGGCAGGGCCCCGGACGTGCGCCCGGCTTCAGGCACTGCCCCGTCTCCTCTGCAGATGGTGAAGGGCACCAACGTGTACGGGATCTTGCGCGCTGCTCGCGCGGCCAGCACGGAGGCCTTGGTGCTGAGCGTCCCCTGCAGCGAGGGCCAGCAGAACAACCAGGCCGTGGGGCTGATGCTGGCGTTGGCCTCCCACTTCCGAGGTGGGTCGGTCGGGCTGTGCTGCGCTCAGGCGCATGTCCTGAGGCTGGGCCTGCTGGACTGGGGGAGAGCTGCTTCCATTTTCAGAGAAGCTTGATGGCTTGTTGTGTGGGCTTCAAGCACTGCAAAATCCACAGGAGAACAGAGGTCAGAGAGCAGGCCTTTCTGAGGTTGGCTCTCCCCTTGGTACAGCTGCCTGGCAATCCGTGGGCTCCCACAGCTCCCGTTGGCAGGAGAGGAACCCCAGCTCCCCGGCATGCTGGTGCTGGGCCCGTTGGGCTGGTCAGGGTGCTTAGCTCCCTCTCTGTCCCAGGCCAGATCTACTGGGCCAAAGATATCATCTTCCTGGTGAATGAGCACGACCTGATTGGGATGGAGGCCTGGCTGGAGGCGTACCATGACATCAACATCACAGGTGAGCAGCAACCTGGGCAAGATTCCCCCGGGGAGAGGGGCTTGGAGGCTGGCAGCAGCAACCCAGCAGCCGCCCAGTTTTCTTTCGCGCAGCAGCCCCCGGCCCACCCTGCCGCCTCCTGCCAGGCTGCCCCCCAGGGCTGGTGTGGCCTCTCTGGCCCCCTTCGTGAACCCAACCTCCCGCACCTGCTGGCCAGCCAGGGCTTCCCTCCCCGGTCCTGGCGTGCGGGGCCTGGCAAGCCCTTTTGGGGAAGCCTCGGGGCCGCTGGTCAGCACCACAGGGCAGGTGGCATTGCCCACACGCCCCGTTTTAGCAGGATGGGCAGCCTGCTCCCTCCACTGCCTGCCTGCCCTGGTTTCCGCAGAGGTGTCCTCATCGGGGACGCTGGGCCGGGCGGGGGCCATCCAGGCCGCCATCTCCCTGGAGCTGAGCAGCGACGTCATCACCAGCCTCGACATTGCCGTGGAGGGGCTGAACGGGCAGCTGCCCAATCTGGACCTGGTGAACCTCTTCCACTCTTTCTGTCAGAAGAACGGGCTGCTGTGCACCATCCAAGGAAAGGTGGGTGGAGCGGGGGCCGCGCAGGGGCGCTGCAGAGCTGGGACGAGCTGGACCCCACCCCCCCGCACACCGAGGGCAGTCTTCAGAGCGTATGGCTCGCGCGGCACTCTCCAACGCTTGTCTTGCCCGCGGCTCGCTGGGGCCCTGTCCTCCGTCCTCCCTGGAGGGCTCTCCCGGCTGCCCCGGCCAGCCCTCTCGTGGGGGTGGGGGGTGGGCCAGGCCAGGCTCTCGGCGCAGCGACCGGGAGCGCTGAAAAGCAGCTGTGGATCGGTGCCCGCCATCTGCCCGGCCCAGCCTGCCCGCCCCGGCCCTGGAGCCGTTGGGCCCGGGCCCGTGGTCGGGGGCAGGAACACGTGCAGGGGGGCCGTCCTGAGCCGCGACTGACGCCGGATGGGCCCCTGTCCCCGCAGCTGCAGCGCTCCGACTGGGACTCGCTGCCCGCATACCTGCACTCGCTGCAGACACTGCTGCTGATGGTGCTGAAGCAGGGCTCGGGCCGGCCGCAGGGCGACCATGGCCTCTTCCTGCGCTACCACATCGAGGCCATTACGGTGCGCGGAATCAACAGCTTCCGGCAGTACAAGTTTGATATGGGCATGATGGGCGCGTGAGTATGGCGGGCGGCCGGGCCAGGCGGGCGGCTTGACGGCCTGAGGCAGGGGGGTGCGTGGGCGCCTTGGGGAGCGTCTGCTGGCGGGGCCTCCCGAGGAGCCGGGCCAGGCGGGAAGGTTGGCACGTGGCTTCAGGCACCAAGAGAGCATCAGCTGTGACTGCTTTCCTGCTGCCCCCCAGAACCTTGGAGGGAATGTTCCGGAAGCTGAACAACTTGCTGGAGCGCCTGCACCAGTCCTACTTCTTCTACCTGCTGCCCTCGCTCTCCCGCTTCGTCTCGATCGGGCTGTACATGCCGGCTTTTGGCTTTCTGATCCTCATCCTGGTCCTTAAGATATCCTCCCCCAGGGAGAGGTGTGGGGGAGCTGGGGGGGGTCTTGCCGCTTGGAGCTGGGACCCAGGAGAGGGTGGGGGTGGCTTCACACAGCAGGAGATGGTCCAGATTCAGCGGGCACGCTCAGGCGGGGACTTGGGCTGTTGGATGCAGCAGGCAGGGCGGCCATGCGGTGGGGGGGGACCGAGCTTCCGGAGGCGGCCTCTGGGTAGCCCAGCTCGTGGACGTCCCTGGAGATGCTGCCTGGGTGCCTGCGGCTGTGCGGCTGGGTGTGGTGATGGGACAGGCCCAGCAGCTGGGGGTGGGGGGGCGGAACCAGAGGCCTGGAGTGGCTGCAGAGGACTCCAGCCACCTGCCGCCCTGCAGTGGCCAAGGCGGCTTTCTCGGGCCATGGCAGGATGGGCTGTACGAGCTTCCCTTGGCTGGATGGTTTCAGGACGTGGGGACAGCCGTGTGCTTTGCGCGGTCGAGAAGGGAAGGCGGCATCAGTCAATACGTTTTGGCCTCTCTAAACCCTCCTTTCGTGCGTCGCTAAAAGCACGGCGGTTTGGCACTGCTTTACCTTTGGCAGCACCACCCCCGGGAGAGATAAAGGCCCCTTTGGGGGCTGTTGCTGAGCAGTTGCCCGGAGACCCCATGCTTCCCATACTGGCCCCTCCGAAAGGGTGGCCCTCGTGGTCTCCCTCCAGCGGGCGTCCACCTCAGGAAAGGTTTGCCCGCCAGCGGCATGAGGAATGCCCCTGAGGGTGTTGCCTCTCGGGCCGTGGGGAAAGGAGCAGCCCCTGGTGCTGGGGAGCGGGGCGGGGCTGCTGGGCCCGGCGACCAGCGTCCCCCAAGGTCCAGCTTTCCGGTTTGCCTTGACTCCCTGCGCCGCAGACGGCTTGGACCTGTGGATGAAGCTCAGCAGGTGCGACGCGGACCCGGACGGTCCACTGTGCGACGGCGACCAGCGTCCTGGCCCAGGGGCTGCAGAGGTGAGCCGTGTGGGGAGGGAGCGGGGCTCCGAGAGGGGAGGGCCCAGGATAGGCACCGCTGTGCTCCCCATCATGGGAAGGGGGCCGGCCTCGGCCTTGTGTGCCGCTTGCAGTGAGCCCTGCCACCCACCCGATCCTCCCGTTGGGTGATTTGGACGGACGGGCGCCAGTTCTGCCCGTCATGATCCCTCCCCTGGAGGGCCGAGGGTGCCGACCTGTGGCCTCTGCTGCTGCTCGTCGGGCTTGGCCTCGAGGGCAGGCCGCCTCTCGCGCTGAGGCCTCGGCACCCTTCTCTCCCGCGCAGGAGCCGAAGCCCAGCCTGCTGACGCTGGTGCCCCCCCTGCTGATCTGCCACGCCACGGGACTCGCCCTCTACTTCGTGCCGATCCTGGGGCAGCACATGGCCACGCAGCACTTCCCTGTCTCCGAGTCGGAGGCCGTGGTGCTCACGGTCATCGCCATCTACGTGGCAGGCCTGGCCCTGCCCCACAACACGCCCAGGTGACTGGCACGGGCTGCGTGCCCCTGGCCAGGGGGTGGGTGTGCCGCTCGCACACAGGCGTGCTGGAAGCGGGCGCCCGCCCGGGGCCCGTGCTGCTCTGCGCAGGCAAGCCTGGGGGGCGCGGCTGGAGGTGCCGCCTGCGGACCGGCTCCCCTTCCTCCTGCAGGGTCCTGCTGGGCTCGGGAAGCGACCGCGGCTGGATGACGCTGAAGCTGCTGTCCCTCCTGTACTTGGCGATGCAGCTGAGCTGCATGGCGCTGATCAACTTCTCCCTGGGCTTCCTGCTGGCCGTCACCATGGTGCCCGTGGCCGCGCTCATACAGCCCACCGGGCCCAGGTGCGTGCCCGTGTGCCCCCCCCCACCTCCTGGCCACTGGCCACACTGCTGTCCTCGGATGGTAGCGAGCAGCTGGCGGGCGGCACGAGCGGGTGGCTGGTTCGCCTCTTCCCCCGCTGGCTGTGCACCACCACAAGTCGCGGCTGCCGGAACTGGGGCTGCCTGCAGCAAGCGCCGCTTCCTGGCTGCTGTTGGCCTGCGCCCCATCATCCTGCCGCCCCGACCGCGGGCTGGTCGCGGTGCTCCCGGGACAAAGAGGGGGTGGGCCCCGGGCGTTCCCCTCAGGCCCGCGTGGGCGAGGGGGCAGAGCGCTGCCCTGGCATCCCGGTTCTTCTGCAGGTGCCTCTACGCCGTGCTGCTGGTGCTGGTCACGCCGGCCGCCACGCTGCTCTTCTGCATCTTCCTGTACCAGGAGCTCACCGAGTACCCCATCTCGGCATTGGAGGGCTGGCAGCGCTTCCTGCAGGCCATCGCAGAGGGCCTGCTGGACCACCACCTCTACGGCTCCATTGTCTTCCCCTTCGTGGCTCTCTTCGTCTACCCCTGCTGGCTGCTGCTGTGGAACGTGCTCTTCTGGAAGTAGCCCGCTGAGGGCGGCTTCCGGGCCCAGGCCGGCCTCTGGCCCGGCTCTCTCGGCCAGGCTTCCACAGAGGCAGCCCCCACGGGGCGCACGGCCTGGAGGCCTCTGGTGCTTCCAGGCAAGGCTTTGGGGCAGGGCAGGGCAGGGCAGGGCAGGGCAGGCGGGTGGGGCAGGGCAGGGCAGGGGCAGCGGTGCCAAGCCCAGCAGCCGAGAAGCCAGATCTGCTGCTGTCTTGGCAGTTTCCAAGGCCACGGCAACCCGCTGGTTCTCAGCAGTTCTGAGGCATGGTGGGAAGGCGCCACCTTTGCTCGCAGGTGGCAGAACCCGGAAGCCTGGGGGGGAAAGGTGCTGGCTGTGGTGCGGTTCAGTCGCTCTACTGCTCAGCTGAGGAGTGATTGTACTTTTTGGGGAAAGAAAGAAAACATCCACACTCAGGGGCACGGCTGATCCTTCCCAGGGCAGTTGCTGCTGTGTGGCCAGAGACTGGCTCTGGTGTTCAAGAATGTCCCGAATGAGGTGCTGGGGTGGGGGTGGGCTGATCAGGTGCCCCAGCAAAGGGAAGGGCTTTGTACGATACTTGGAAATAAAGGCCTTTGAAATGCCACCCGTGTTCATTTCTGTTCCGCCTTGCAAGCGTCTGGCTCCTCAGCCCCTTGCTTGTGCTGCTCAGCCAGCCACTGCCTCAGGGGGGTCCTGCACTCCGGCCGGCCGGCTCTGCCGATCATCGTGGCTCTTGGCACGTGTTCCTGGGGCTGGTGAGGGGTCTGGAGGCTTCGCAACCTGCTGCGTGCCCTGAAGGCCGTTCCCGCAGGCAGCGCGCCGCCCTCCAGGTAGCCTTGTTCGTGGTCCCGGGGAGGAGCCAGGGGCCGTGCTCCGTGTTGGTCCCAGTGACGTGGAGCAAAGCCGTCGCGAGGCTGTGGAAGCCAAGCCTCAGTTGCTGAGTAAAGGCTGGAATGCAGGGTCCCTCCGCTGGCGGGCTGGCGGGCTCCGAATGCAGTTTCAAACTGGACCTTGTTGCGGAAAGCCGACAGGCTCCCCTGTTGGACCCATCCCATTTTTGGTCTTTCCGTGTGTCTTTTGCCTTCGACTTTCCCTGATACAATTGTCGTCTTTATTTTATTTATTTATTTATACTTCCATTTATATGTCACCTACTACCCAAAGGTCTCAAGGTGGCTTACAATAAAAAGTATAAATACATACAACAATAAAGAAACAATAAAGGCTCTTTGCCTTCTCATGCTGTGTCCAAAGTAGGGCAGCCTCAGGGTTGTCAGTTTTGCTTCCAGGAAATGTGACAAGCAGTCTAAGTGCCAAAACAGAACTCCTGTGCCCCTGAGGTGGCTGGAGAAGGGACAGTGTGTTCGGCGTTTCCATGCTAATGCTAGCCAAAACAGGACAGCTCAAGTGCCTGGGGATAAAGGAGAAGCTAGATGAAAACGGGCGAGCGGAGAGAACCTGTGGGATGCGCATTGTCCTGGAAGGGCACACCTGTGCGCAGCTGTACATCAAGGGGCCCAGAACTCTGCAGACTTGGTCATCTAACTGGACAGGCTGTTCCACAGAAGCACTGCGCTGTGCGTGATGCGTACGTCTTGCCTGCACGAGAAACTCCGTTCCAGGAAAGCGCTGTCATCTCCCAGTCCAGACTGCGGGGGGTGACCCCGAGATGGGGATGAGAACAGGGAGGCTTCCAGATGAAGAAAGGCTGCCCCTTGACCAGACAAGCTTCACTTTATCCCCACCCCACACATGGGCTATTCAGATGCATGGTCCCTCTCTGACCAAGAGGGGAAATGTCTGGATGTGCTGGCTGACGGTGCTGTAGAGCAGCTGGTCGTGGAACTGAGAAGAAGTGGGACAGTCCTGCTTTTAATCCTATTTGGGGCTGTGCAGGACCTGGTTGAGTTTCAAGTTTCAACTTAATGTTGAAACTCAGCATTAAGAAAACTAAGATCATGGCATCCGGTCCTCTCACTTCCTGGCAAATAGATGGGGAAGAAATGGAGGTAGTGACAGATTTTATTTTCCTGGGCTCCAAGATCACCGCAGATGGGGACTGCAGCCAAGAAATTAAAAGACGCTCCTGGGGAGGAAAGCTATGGCAAATCTAGACAGCATCCTAAAAAGCAGAGACATCACCCTGCCAACAAAAGTGCGGACAGTCAAGGCCACGGTTTTCCCAGTTGCAATGTATGGCTGTGAAAGCTGGACCATAAGGAAGGCTGAGCGCCGAAGGATTGAGGCCTTTGAATTATGGTGCTGGGCGAGACTCCTGCGAGTCCCCTGGACCACAAGGCGATCAAACCGGTCAGTCCTGGAGGAGATCAACCCTGACTGCTCTTTAGAAGGCCAGGTCCTGAAGATGAAACTCAAGTACTTTGGCCACCTAATGAGAAGGAAGGGCTCCCTGGAGAAGACCCTGATGCTGGGAACAAGTGACGGCAAAAGAAGGAGGGGGCGGCAGAGGATGAGGTGGCTGGATGGGGTCACTGGGGCAGTTGGTGTGAGCTTGGGTGGACTCCGGGGATGGTGGAGGACAGGAAGGCCTGGAGGAGTGTTGTCCAGGGGGTCAGGATGGGTCGGACGCGACCTCACAACTAACAACAACCACAGGACCTGGAACATGATGTAACTATTTCTGAACTTACTGGAAATAGTGCTAGCAGAGTTCATAGGCACTTAAGCGGGAGACGGCCAATGAGGCCCCAAACACCCCCATCGGATTGCTCTGGGAAGAAAGAAGTGGAAGGAAATGGGAGAGGGTTGAAATGCTTGGAAACAGTGCAAAATGACAAAAATGTAACGGAACGGTGGAAGAGTATGGCGGGAGGAGGCCGGAGGGCCATCGGGTTCAACCCCGATTCCGCAGGACAGTGAGCCGCATGATGACTGTCCAGACGCTTTCGAATACAAATACTGTAAAATTAATTAAAAGCGTTTGTAAGCCATCCTATTATGCAGGACCTGAGCACGGCTTGTAGTACAATAGCACAGTATAGTACAATATCCGAGATTGGCCTAGAGCGCGCCGGTCCCGGTGGGGTGGCGGGCCGGCGGGGGCGGCCGGAGCCCGCGGGCGCCCTCTGCGAAGCCCGCAGGGCCCCTCCCGCCGCCGCAGCTCTACGCGGGCCCAGCACTTCCGGCGAGGCGCGGCCCGGCTTCCGGTCGTGGCGTCGCCTGCCCGGCCGCCGGCCAGCCCGCCCCTTCCGTCGCGCGCGCCGCGTCAGCGCCGGCAGAGCGGGCCCCTCCCGTCCCTCCA